TGATGTATATTAACCCTTTACCATATCAACGCCAAAAATTAGGACAAATCTGGCCTATATTTTCGCTGGCTTGTAGAATTGTTGCGTTACATTCGGTTGACGTCAAATGTGGAACAATAAGAGATTATAGATTTAGCCAATCACTGGCCAAGTTTCAAGGCAATCGGCCATATATAGAGCGAATGCCACGCAGTGTAATTCGAACTTGGTGATGTGAGCATAGTGAGAGCAATGGCGTCAAATGCCAAGAGACTACGCTTGGAAGATTTCGACTCGGAACACTCGGATTCTTCCGTTGAAGAAGTGAACGAAACCACTGGAGGCTTGGATAGTGGTGAAGAAAGCGATTTGGATCGCCTTCTGGCCAATGAATCAGATATTTCAAGGTAAGAACGTATTTTGAAATTCGTGGAATGAAACCACGAGGAGATCGCGTCGGATAAATCCTCATTTCTTGTTCAAGAAAACATCATTTTCGGCGCCCCTGACTCTTGATTTCTAACCTATTTTACAGAAAAATGCTTCGTTTTTAAGATTTGATGTAATACCTTTCGAATTTTCAACGGATTTCTCGATTTTTGACCTTGTGCATAAGGGGATTTGCTGTTGGCCGACGTGGCACGCGTTGCTGTGGTGACGCTCCTGTGGCGTCGCTTCAATTTCGAATTCTTATTTCAAATTCGCTGCGTTCGTTCCTTTTTTTTCTGACGCGATTTGGCGCTGTTGCCGTTTTTCATTTGTTTCTCATACTCTCTCTAGACCAATCTGTTAAATTTTTCTGTTTTCAATTTCTTTTTTAGCGATAGTGAATTCCCTTTCACTCTCCACTGGTCAGAGAGTGAAATGGAAGTGGAGGATGAAGGGGTGGCTGATCCTTCAGGTAGGTATTCTTTTATTATCAGTTGAGTAGATCAAACTTTGCTCTTTTGTTGTATTATGCATTTATTTTCCACTGATACAATGAATAATTATTTGTTTTTGTTATGTGCAGTTCCCCTACCAGATGTCCCTCCTCCAGGACCAGCAAACACCAATGCAGCCTCATGTGAGTATAATTTTCTTTGGAAGGAATTATGTCTTGCTTCTTTTGCATGTTCTGCATCATGTTCTGTGTTATTCTCTGTTATACTGAAATCTGTTTACACTTCACAGGTTCCTCTAATGCTTCATCATTCTATGGTGGAGCAGCCAGACCGCATCCACCTTCCCATCGTGGTGCCCCAACTCTTTCCTCTCCGCGTCGTGGTCGTGGGGTGGGTCGTAGTCGTGGTCGTGGTCGTGGGGTTGGTCGTGCTCGTGTGCGAGGAGGACGGGCAAGAGGAGATGGTGCACGTGGAAGGGCAAGTGGTCGTGGTCAAGTGGCACGTGGGCCTGCAGTGCAACTGCACGAGGGATATGCTGATGATGATCTTGGAAATCAGCCGCTGCCATTTCGTCCAGCCCATCCCGTCGGCGTTCACCTTGGCCAGCGATTAGTGCGTGGTGCCTTTACAAGAGCTGTTGAGTTTTTTAATTTATTTTTTACTGTAGAGTTGATCAATAATATTGTAAGTCATACAAATAGTTATGCTTATGAGCATATTGAAACCCACCAGTCCTATGCAAAAAGGGACGGAAGCTGGCTAGAGTGCACTGCAGATGAGATCAGACGGTTAATAGCCATCCTCATCTACTTTGGGCTTGTAAGAGTCAGTGATGTCGTAGATAATTACTGGAGTAGAAAATCTCTTTATCACGGCTTGTGGGGAAAATGTTTTATGCCTTTGATACGCTTCAAAGGCCTAATGGCGATGCTTCATGTTGTTGACCCGGCTTGTGAAACAGAAGGTGATAAGTATACTGTTGAAAGATTTTATACTGTTGAAAGATTCCATACTGTTGAAAGATTGTAGACTTTATTGAAACATTGTAAACATTGTAATTTTCACCTTTTTCAGAGTTTGTTAGGTTTCATTCACATAAGTGAAAGCCTTCTGGTGGGTCAATTGATCTACGTAAGAGCAAATGTACATTGTAGTAAGGATTGTATTATGCTTGGGCATGACAGAAAATGTGTAACTGTGTGACAGAGGGTTGGAGTAAAGATATTTTTCACTTTCCAAGGTAAAGGAAGGCTCACTTCACCAACAATTTCATAGCCAACCCTGCTGAACTCCTACTGCAAAAAGTGACATGTTAGGTACATTTTTCATGCAAATTTAACACTTTGATGGATTCACAATAAATATTCATAACTTATTTATTATTGGCTAAATTTGCACCAAATTTGGAGGATTTACAGCTGAAAGGTGTGGGAAAAAGTTCTTCTCTAACATTTTGTCATACATAACTCTGTCAGCCCTCCGACTGAAATATGAAAAATAAATTTGCATAAATTATGCTAATTTGATTCGTGTCATATAGTCATTAGGAGGTTGTGAGCTCCATTGGAGGCAAACTTTTTTTTGTCTTGAAGCCCTATGTAAAGACATCATTCTGACCAATTTTTACAGTCCTAGGTCACATTGTTTGTAAGTTATTAGTAAATTAGTAAAGTAGCATGACAATGGCTGAAATTTGATATATGGGAAAGTGTTAAGTCGTCTTATTCACGCAGATGAGAGTGCGCAGATGAGATAAAAGTCTATCCGACCAACTGGCCCGCGCCAACTCGCCCGCGCCAACTCGCCCATGCATAAAATCTCACCAGTGAGCTTATGACAGAATTAGTCTCGTTTATTTAGGTTTGATGTTTTGTGGAATTAGAATAAAATAATTGAAGTTTCGACAACGTTTCGTAACTTTATGCCGTTACAATACAAACCTAAGCGTTCGACAACCGGCATACCGTCACATACGAACACTTAGATGCTATGGGCGCCTCCCAACACCTTTCTGACACTTATTACACTACGCTTTTATTTTGTTTATATGTAACAGTTTCTCGTTGTTGTGTATGTTGTGTTATATTTTAAGCCAAAGAATCAAAGCGATTGTTCGGGGATTTGATCTCAGCATCTAAATATTCGTATGTAACGGTGTGCCGGTCCCCAAACACTTCGGTTTGTAAACGACTGAATATATGAAAATCATATGTTTGAACTCTGGATTAATAAATGGATACGTGAAGGATCCTCGCAGTAATAAACACTAGGTGAAAGGAAATAGAAAAGTAATTTTAAGCGTGGGCGAATTGGTCCGTGGGCGACTTGTCTGTAATTCGATAAAAGAGTGAGATATTTACGTCGCTTGTGAAGATGTTTGCTTGATACAGTGCTTTTCAATCGGGTGTTGTAAAACCAAAACCAAAGCAATCACAGCAGCCAGTCATAGCGAGGAAAATATCACTAGCAGCCAATGAGGACTCTGAGTAAAAATAAACAAACCGCCTGGAACGCGGGAAAACGCGTGTTAACTTTTGAATATGTTGGTTGAGAAAGTGGCGCAAGTTTTAAAGCAAAACATTTGTAATCCCGAATCCTCAGTTAAAAATTTCTCTTATACAGGTTTCAATACGTATCCAAGGTATGCCTAGTGAAGAATTTCCTTTACTGTTTAAGTCGGCTCTGCACTTACGTAACGCAAATTGTCCTAGTTCAGCATGTTAACTGGCGACATAAGATGTTGAGATCAGATATTTGTAGAATATGAACCTCGGTGTAATTTTTGTGTTCACAGTACAAAAAGCCCCCTTTGATTCTTGAGCAAGAAAAGCTTATCCGACAGGAACTGGTCAAAATGAAATCAAGTCGTGACGGGGATGTGGAGTGTACGCCAAGCTGACTAAAAGGTCCATCTCTGGCTAATCGTGTTGAAACCTGCTCTCCGCAATATGAGAGGCAGTTTAAAGGACATGCGTCAAAGATATTTACATAGAATTGTCCCTTTTCAGAACAAGCACTTTTTATAGATCTCCACTGTCATGATGGACCAGATTTGCGAACAGGATTTTGGCGGCGATGATCTCTCATACTTATGGCCCCACTGGAGTTGCAAGAAGGTTGCTCGTGCTTTTCTGGGGCTCTGATCAACTTTAAAGCTCTTAGCTTTCCTGGAACTAAATAATTTGGCTTTATCATCGAATTTATGTAAATTGGCCACCGTAAAGATTTTCGAAAGCTGAGGTTTCGAGCGTTAGCCCTTCCTTAGAGCGAAACCCAGGGGCTAACGCTCGACACGTCAGCTTTAGAAATTCTATACAGTGGCCAATTTACATAAGAAACACAGTTCATGATATCGATTTATCTTGTAATTCTCCCCCCCATGGAAGCAGCACCACAGTTTCTTCAGTTAGAAACGTACTCCGTTTTCCTGTAATTGTTGCGTAATGGTGCAGTGACCCTGCTGCGGAGACATGCTCTTTGTAAAATATCTAAATGAAAATAATAAGGTACCTGATACTGACTTAATCAGTGTTACCCGCAATTTAAACAATGGCAGTGAAATTTCTCCAGTGATATTTCCCAGGACCTTTCTATATTTACCCACGCTAAGGAGTCATAGTCATACAATACCAAACTCTGATGACCCCCGTACAAGTTTTGAGTTTCTCGGAAAATTGAGCCGAAATTGTTCTCGTCAGACTTCTGCATTTCTTAATAATCTTTCTCATCCTTAATCATCCTTGGCTCCATCGTGAATTATTTAGGGTTGCCATGGGGTTAACCGTGAGCGAAAAAAGAAACGGCCAAAATATTTAGCTGTTAGGCGTAAAAATTGAAAACTTTGGGCCGTAGGTCTTTTAAAAAAAGTAAACCAAAAACTTTTTTACTATCCACAAAGTGTCATTTTGAAAGTGTCCAAAACAGAGTGTTATGTGTCTTGTCTTGGGGCTTCTGCTTGAAACAGAAAATGACTCCATAACTGTTAACTTTAACAGAAAGAAATTAACCGATAACCGTAAAATGGCCGAAATTTTAGCCGTTATCCGTCGATAAAAGCCATCAGCCCATCGTGGCCTTCTTTAACCTTTTGGGGGTTTTCTATATAAGCAAACTGATATTTTGTTGCCTTAAAGTTTAAGGCATCCTTCCAGATCGCAACGACTTGACATTTTGTCACACGCAAATAATCTCGAACTCATAGGTGACCAAAGAGGAATTTCTCCTTACAACATCGATACACCTTCGACCAGAAAAATGATAAGGAGACAGAAAACTAGAGGGAATTAGAGGGTTATGCTCAGTCTTCGGTATTTTCATGTGACTCTGTATTTCTCATATTATATCAAGCTTTAACTTGATTTACAGATTGTTGTTCAATGGTAAAATTATCTTCACGCATGCGTCTTATGGCTGTCTTCACATCGTGGAACAGGTCACCCTTGGGAGAGCCGTAAAACGGTAATAAATTCAGCCGTAAGGTGTAAAAATTGGCTAAATTTAACCTTTCGTCGTGCAAAAAGTTAACCGTAGAAGTTCAGTTCCTATCTATGCCTGTCATTTTGAAAATGTTAAATCTTAGACTGTCTTATCGTGTGGCCAATGCGGGAAAACAGAACATTACTCTGTATCAATCGAACAGCAGCTCCACTGATCTGGAATTACCGTCTCTTGGTGCTTGACTCTAATGATAAAAGCGAGTTAAGCACGCTGAAAATTAATCATTAACTTTTCAAAATGATCTAAATTAATTTTGAACTTTTCTGTCGATCGTAACAGAAAGAAATTAACCGTTAGCCGTAAAATGGCCGTAAAAGCCATCATCCCTTTGATACCCTCTTGTGACGATTCAAACAATGCCACTAATCCAAGTCATATTTCTCATGGGATTTTGCGAGTCGAAGGACCGCATCCTAAACTGTCATCTGCGTATCAGTTACAAACCGAGATAAACTGTTCTTAATCTTATTCCCACGACTGCTTGTACTAACAGCTGAATTTATTTGACGTTCAGTCCTTAACTCTTGCTCCAACAGGTGTCGTATTATTCTAAGACAAAACCACTCACAATTCCCAGGATAAAACGGCTCAAAAAATTTTCAAGGACCTTTTGATTTATACGTTCTCACGAATGGTGTCACCCGTGTGGGTTGAAAAGTTATGACCGAGTTGTAAGGTGCATTGTTTTAGTTTCATTGACCTTGAGCTTGATCAATGCAAATTTTCCTTGTCTTGATACTAGTATTAATATATTGCACTTAATTTTGGGGTCACTGAATATCTATTTACGTTATCGTTTGGATATCAAGGGTAGGATATTAAACCTATTTTTAGAAATATCGGAAAATCGCAACCCACACTAAATCGATTCATTCCCTTCCCTAAGTTTTCTTTGGTTATCGCTAGGACTTTCGTTCCTCTATAACACTGAAGAGAACAGAATTTGATTTACCTCCGCTCGTGGCAGCTGAGTTTATTGAAGAATCTTTTTAGCTCCTGCACCGACAGGTAACATATTTTACTTAAACAAAGCCATAGCAATTTATCTTAATCAAACTCTTTATTTTCTCAATGGCTACTAAATTAAAATCAACCTGCCTTTTCACGTATACATCACAATCAAATATTGTTAGTTTAGGTTAAATGTTGGATGAAAATAACTCAATGATCCTGTTGAAAAGTTTAAACAGTTCAAGAAAACGGAATGGCGCGTCATTCCGTGAACTCTTTTCAATTACGCGTGTGAATCAAATCCCGAAACGCGTACCGGAAATGCTCGGTTCCACAAAAAATTATGTACTGTTATTTTGAAACGTGAATGAGTTTATCTGATTTGTCATTGGCGACTTCATAGATGACGTTAAGGCGGCAGAGGCAGACGAGCGAAAATGGAATCTGATTTTTCTCATAAAGGCTGTAGAAAAATTCCCTAGAACAAACCCTTCTTAATACAAGTATTTTAACTTAATTAGGAAGAAAGTTGAAGTCGGAAGGCAAGAAGTTAATTTTTGCCATGAACGCTGTGCTCAACCTTTAAGATAGAACACAGAACGGATCTCAGGGGTCATTTCCTGAAAGGTTCCCAAAATTCCGGATCCTAAGCCACATCTTAAGATCAAAATTTACAGAATACAGAAGAAGGTTCTGCCATCCTTAACAGTTACTTTAGCTCATAATTTCATGGTCTAAGTTTCCAAACTTTTGAGAACCACATCTTAAATGAAAACAACCAGCTTTACGGGCCCACTAAGTTACCGGGTTCCTCGAGAAACGGGCCCCTGGCTCTCTAACTTTCCTTAAATATGTTCGTGGGGTGAATGCATTTCATTTTTTTAAGAGACGTTTGACCCTAAGAAAGGAAATGATCACTGATTTAGAAAGCTCCTAATTGTTAAACAAATTCTCCTTGGCATTACCATAGGAAATGTAAATGGAAAGAGAACATTGTGGGGAATTTGAATACCAATGTTAGGGTGAAAAGGGTTCGAAGTCCCTTCAACTCGTACCCTATGGGTGATAAGTGAAGTTGTTATTTTTGCACTCGCAATATCCGATGGTAGTCAAAGTTGCAAAAGGATTCACAGTTTTTTAAAACTAAAGATTTTGAGGGTCAGGGGTAAGGGGGGGTTCAGAATTAACAATTTATTGAATGGAGATAGAAGATCAGAGATGGCTGACAGTTTGGAGTTAGAGTTACTCGATTTTTATCCAACAATTAGCGACCACACTGGTAAATCTGAAAGGTAGAATCGATCGCACATGTGCCATTTGTGGTAAGACCATTTAATTTGTGGCTTGACTCCTTTAGAAGGATATGATAACCACGTAAAGCTGTAATATTCTGCTCTTCGTAGGGAAATTTTTTCTAGTTACATCTCTATGTAAATAAAATGATTTCTTTCACTGAGAAGAAAGCATACTGCTCAAACACTACTCAGATGTAATAACTCATGTTTAATAATAATGATAATAATGACAATCTTTATACAGGGGGTTCACATCACTGGAGAGTGGTATTCTGTTAGGCCCTGTAGTAGTTTGATGCCATTAACACTGTGGATGATGAGTTTGATATAAGTGTCACAGGAGGGTCGAAAATAATTTGGCTTAAATAAACGTTTTGCCAACGAACTTTACTCTCAGCATTTCATTCGCATCATAAAGTGGTACAAACTTTAAATTCGTAGGAAACATTGCACCTGTACATCGCCAGCTTTGCGCACCAATATTTGGTTTACTTCCAGTCTCTGACATTGCTGAATTGTGCAGCAAACAAATTTAAATACCAACTGTATATTTTTGTTAAGTTGCCAGGACGAGATTAAAAATTGAAATGAAGAGTTTACCTGTAATACTCGTGATGTTTGTTTGTTGTACTTCCAATCTTCGTCCTTCCTTTCTAACTTTGTTTTATAACAAGCAAATATCGACAACAACTGTACATTTTTGCTGAAGATTTGCCAAGAAAGGAATCGAAAAAAAACTCGAGAAAAAAAGGGTCATTCGCCTCCCTTGCAGAGGCTCGGTAGTTCAGTTTTCGTCGGGGTGCTGTGTGCATTTAAGTTAGGTGATTTTGAAATGTCACGAAAAGTCTTGAAAGAATTTCAACTGCTTAATTTTTTTTCCTAATTTTCTGATGTGATTAATCACGCAGGTTGGAGATTCTTTTGGTCAATAAAGGCATCATGTGCAATGTTCATCTCCTCGTGATAAATGTTCAATCAATATTTTAAGTGATTCCATTTTAAAAGAAGACAATTCGTACATTCAGAGGAACAGTTGCCAAAAAGCGATCCATTGTTTGTCTTTTTGTTCTCGAGGTAATATCGAATTCTTCCGTCATAACACAGGTTGATTTCACTTGTCACTGTGGAAGCACCTGTACTGGGCAAAATTTTGGAACTCAAGGCGTCGTTGCACGTGGAGAAGCTTCGTGGAAGAACTTTGAAGCACTAAACCTGGTCGACAAACTAATTATTGAATCGTTTGTAATCTGTGGACACTCTAGCGTATATTGAATTTACCCGCGGGCATTCATTTGTATGCAAATATACGCAAGTTCTTTACAGTTGCGATGAGTGATTTTAGAGAATAGATATTCCAATCGGCAAATCTCCTGTGCATTTGTGGAAATGAAAAATTATTCATATTCAAAGAATTGTAACCGACCACGGTATTTTTCTTTTCCTGTTTTGTAACATAAACCGGGTATTTTTTTGGGGGGGAGGGGGGGAGGGTTAATAGCATGTGATAGCTGCCAGTTATGAGGCAGATTGCGCTTGATGTCCAACACGTGACTTGATCATTTGTTCTATATTCAGGTGGCCTTCCTTCGCAGCCAACGTTTGTTTTTCATATTTCCGATGTCATTTTCTGAGGATTTTAAAAGCCTAAAGTGCGGCCAACGTAAATAACTATGAAGCTTTGTATAGCTTTAATTGGCCCAAGTGTTCAGCAGTCCAAATTTTCGGCTAATCTTTTTTCAGTCTTCAAATCTTACTAAATCTGCCCATAAGGCAATGTTTTTTTGTGTATATGAACGTTTTGTTGACGTTCAGCCAAAGGCAGGAAACGGGTTTAAGTGATGCTGAAAATTTTGCGACGGGTAAGGGAAAAGTTATCATTATTCGAGTGAAATTTTGTTCATGATTATTGCAATAACAATGATGGTCTCATTTATCGTGTGTAAAATAAATTCAATTGTAAAGAGCCATATCAGATTATTTTGACTCATCTCAGTTGAATAACGGGAAGAAACAGTATTTTTTTTTTTTTTTTTTGCAATTTTCTCTCTCAAATAACCTCACACTGAAACTTTTTATTGATGAAACGGACTTTATTGATTTGGCATGCATGCAGCACGCTGTCTTTCATCATAGTTATACAGAATGTTCTAAAACAATGGTTACGGTGGTTTTTAGCTAAAATATGCGGTCACCTGTTACTTAAACAGTCATTACACGTGACAAATTTCATTTGCAGGCTCTTATTCTGTAGAAATCTCGGGATTATAATTATTTCTTTCCATAAATGCGCTGAAAATATGAATATAATCTACTTTCGCAAAATAAAACCGCGCTTGGATCTTTTTCTCTTTCATTCTTGTATATAATCTCTTGTACATTTTTTGAATATCAAAAGTTACTTTTTTAATTTACCTAAATACACTGTTATTTTTTACATTAGTTCTCCTTTCGGAGGTTATATCTTTCATAAATCTTATACCGTTCTCTTTGCTACGAAAAGGCTAATTGTCAGCGCAATATCATTCAAGAAACAGTCTGTGCTGTTGTAAGTCGCCTTAAATATTTTAAGAGTTTTTATTTAGTATACTAAGAGAACCGATGCATGTTCAACTGAAAGCTCCATTCTGCTACGCTGAGTCCACCAATGATTGTCTTGTTAGGATCAGTAAAAGACTTGCTCTCTTTGAGACTCGATAAGATTCTTGAAAGGCATGTTCTCTCTCATTTGGTCGGTGACTGTGTCTGGAGTGGGTCTGGCGTTCTGTTGCTCCGGGCGATGGTGACTGGCGTTGGTTTTCTCGAGATAGTACGCATGATGAATGCGAATGTGCGTGCGGAGATTACTCGAACTGATGAATTTCCAGTTGCAAATGTTACACTTGTACGGTTTCTCTCCCGTGTGAGTGAGAATGTGTGACTGTAGGTTTCCAGATGTTGTGAAGGCTTTAGAACATTGTTTGCACTTGTACGGTCGCTCGCCTGTGTGGATTCGAACATGCCTTCGCAAATCGCTCGAGCTTACGAACGCCTTAGGACAGTACTGGCACTTGTGGGGCTTTTCACCCGTGTGCGTGAGGATGTGTCTTTGTAAGTTGGTTAGCTGGGCGAAGCCGCGGCAGCAGATATTACACGTGTACGGCTTTTCGCCGGTGTGAATGCGGTTATGAATCTTCAGGTGCGCTGCTAGCGCAAAGGCCTTAGGGCATTTCTGACATTTGTAAGGCTTCTGGCCCGTGTGGATCAGCACATGGCGTTGAAAATTCCATGAGCGCGTGAATACTTTGCTGCAGTGCTGACATGTGTAGGGTTTCTCGGCTCCCGTCGAATCTGTGTCCTTCTCCTCTTTAATTGACGTAAAGTCTTCCAAGCGATCTTCCTCTGGGACTTTCTCTCGGCCCCACGCGCTCACTTTCTTTTCCGTGTCTTTGGGAAAACCATTCATTTCCCTGCCTGTGTTAAAGATCTGCGGCTCACTGTTTGACAAAACCAGTGGTTGGACATAGGGGACCCCGACACGATGCAGTTCAGCCTGTGAGGATGTAACAGTCGGTGGGGTGTCGTGCGTGTTATCTGTGGACATCAAAAAAGGGAACAGTGAAAAATTGCTTCAAAGACACCTTATTTACTTAAGAAATACAGTTTTACGGTTAGCGCATTGAGATTCGGGTTGCTCCTCCCTCGAAGGAAACCGCATTACTAACACGCGTGGCGTGAATGAAATTACACAATTTATCGTTTATCATACGCAAAGTTTATCTAGACAGCGTAACAAGCCTATGGTTAAATAAAGTAGATAAAGGAGCTAAAGTTTCCTGCCAAGCGAAAGATTTAGTGCATTTCGTGCGAAAACGTTTTCCTCATTTATTTGCCGTTCAACGCCTTTCTTTAGAAAATTGAAATTGCGATGATTAGATTTGTTCATAGTTATTCAGTCTTTACAGTGAAAATTAATTGAACTTTTAAATCCCACTTTAGCAACACAACCTATGGATTGAACGGCGAGAGAACCATAACTGGCCTCCCTGTATTGCATGTCTGTTTTATTAAATTTGAAAGAGGACGGTGGCCCATTGCGTTTGTTAACCCGTGTGAACATTTGACTACAGAAAACAATTCTGTTTGGGTTTGACTATGAATGTTTAATGGCTTAAAATACCAATTTGAAAAAGTCATCGAATACCGCGAAGCTCTACTTTGATGCATTTTAACAGTTTTGTTAATCTGATGGCTCTTGTAATAAACCACAAGAATAGACCTAAGCACGAAAATTTTACTAACAAGAATTTGGGCTAAAAATTTACATCCAGACGAGATGGAAAATATTTCTTGTCAGTTGAGGACAAAGCTCACACGACTTTTTCCGAGCTGTTGCGTATTCAAAAGCTGAATTAGGGCTTTGAAAGAAAATTTATATACGAGACTTGAGCTTCAATATAAAGGAATTTATGGAGCGATTTTTTTGGGTTTTTATGAGACTGCTAACGACAGAAGGAAGAAAATCTCTTCACTGTTTGTACTCCTAGAATTAATAATTCAACACAAGCAAGAAGCTGTTCTGTAATCCTAAAGAGAACAAGTCTTTTGGACTATTTTCTCATCGCACTATCCTGTTTTACTCAAATTTTGTCCGGAAGATTTAAAGGATAGTTAGACGGGCGTCATTATGAAACATTTTGGGATTTTCAGTCGCTGGTGATTTCGCTTTGATGCTTTTCAAAAGACCCTTCAGGTATTTTGCAGGTAGCAAGGTCGGCCTATGGTCAAAATTCTCAACAAAGAGAAAATCTCAGAAGAAAATCGTTAACATAGCTGTTCAACAGATAAGAACTTCAATAGGTACTTTAATCATCTGTATCTCCTTTTACGCGAGAAAAGAGCGGTGCTAATATGCGGAATTACGGCCTGAGAAATCACTCCAGAAATATCGTATCATCGGTCGCCACGAAGTAAAATGGACAATTAAAAAATGATTTCTAAAATCTTTACACCCTGACTAATTTTAAATGTAAAAAGAATTTTTTCCTACTCTTAATTTTAAGTCTTATTCCTTATCTTATGGCATTGCGTTAGGAAAATTAGACAAATTAGACATATTCACCAAACGCTTACAACTTGAATACTTGAAAATGAGTTAAACTCAACTTACCAAAGTACGTGATATTGTTTCTCTTAAATTCCTTCTTTTTGATTAAAAAGGAGCGAGGCATTCTTGATCTGTAAGGTTGGTGTGCTTGATGGCGTAAACTCTGCGGATGGATGTTAGTCCGAATTGAAGGCTTCTCTTGGCGTATGATTCAAGATCGAGCGCGCACTATCTTTAGTTTAAATAGACTGAAGAAACTTTGCGCTGGTTACTGCTTATTATAGCCACCGAGTAGCGATGGGACAGGTGCAACGAGAATCCACAGCGGTTGTAAACAATTTCCCACTTGCTATGCCGGCGCAAACTTTCGTACATGGAAACTGAATGCCCCTTGATCATATCACGACAAAAGAATAACACAATCTGTTATTTAAAACAACAAAGTCTTTGCAATGCTACTGGCCGTGTATTAATTTATTAAAGACCTGCCTCGGTCCCATCAAGAATTCAATGCTTTACAGGTTGCGCAAGTAGCAAAATGACCAAACGACTAATCCACGCTGACAATAGGCCGCTGTCAGCCAATCTAAGCTAAAATATCGCATTGCGCATGCATGATAGAATAGTTTGTTTAAATCTTGGAAGGCTTGTTCGCTGCTAGTGGCGCGGGCGACCGACCAATCAGAATGCAGAACGTCAAATAACTTTCGCATGAGCGCAACTGAGCGAGAACAATTCTACCGATTAGAATTTTGACCCGCAGACTGACTGGGGCAAAGCATGGTGAATTGCGAGGGATTCTACGCACATTGGTCGCGGGGTGAGCAACACATTCCTTTTCCAAGGTAGTAACGAGTTACCGTGGTTAGGATATCATTATCACCTTTGAAAAGACTTTTCGAAAAGCACACTGGAAACTAAAGTGCTGTTCTTTTGTGGTGCGCGTTATGAAATTTTAATTTGAAAATATTTGGAAGTATGTTATTTGTCAGTGAACCATGCCATGTCAATTATTCATACAATAGGTAAACTTCCTTTTGTTCCCGGCTTCGGAAAAAAGGGGCTTCGAAATGTTTCATTCGTCCTAACGCTCAGTTGAAAACAGAAGTAGTTCAGGAGTTCGAATTAGGCCTCTTAGCACCTCGCTGATATGTTTGATTTTCGTCAGCCGTGTTGAAGTTGGTGCGAACGATTTATCAAAACTTTTCAAACAAGATCGACACTCTGTTCGCATGAGCTAATTACTTTGGAGAACATGCCTTTGTTTGATTTTGGCCACTGCTAGCGTTGTGCACTTAGCAACGCCACCAGTCGCTCTTTCCTTTGCCACTTGTCCGTTTGGTGAAGGCACGTGCGCTGAAGAACAGGTGCGTTACGACCCCCGGGCGATGAGAACAAAGCTAACTCGAAATTCTCGCCGAGACAATGGGCACCACTAAGTAGAAATTTTTCACTCAAATCTCGCCCAAATCTCAACAATTAGAGCTTCAAATCGCCGAAATAAAAGAGGGAAGGAAAGCCTGTAGGTGACAAGACGGTGGTTGCGTGTTTTATACTCTTTGGCGCACAATAGGAGACGAACAATGCACACGGTCTGTCAGCAAGTTAAGTCTGAATCAACCTGTTGAGAACTAGCAAAATCGTTATGATGGCTGTCAGAGTATCATTACTCAAACGATAGTGCAGAAAGGTTCCAGTATTTGCACGTCAACTTTAGATCTCTAGAAAAGCTTTGTTTTCTGTCAGAGAAAAAGTGGTTTTAAAATTTCGGTATGGAAAGTGAATGTTTTACTGAGTAATTTCTTTTTGAAATCAAAAATCAAAGACTTGATCGTTTCTAAAAGCTAACGTGAGTTCTGCGAATGCGCAGAACTGGGTGAAACCTATAAGGCAGATTTGCTCTCTCTATTTATAAACTGACAGACAACCAAAAATAGCATCCCATCCACGTTGAGTTGTTACAGTTTTGCGACACGACAAGTCGAAGAAGCAACAGGAAACATTGTGAGAGCAAATACAGCACCTAGAGACAGTTAAACCCGCATTGTAAATACAAGCACATTTTAAATAAACGAACGAATCGCGAAACGGAGCATGTTACCAGAAGCTTCTTGGGATATTTCACACTTTCAGTCTCTCTTCAAGATGATGGAATGCAGCCAGACAAATGAAGAAGATTCCAAGTTTAAAAGACACATGGCTGGGATTTACATGTGTTTAGGAATGTATTTAAAGTTCAAGGTGTGAGTTAATTAACTAAACAAATCCATTTAAGCCATTTACACATGATAATAGATCGCTACGGATTTCCTTCGCAACAGAATGTAACCACGCTCCTGTCAATATTAGTTTTGAACTTCGCACGAAGCGAGCAGAGAGAATCTCGAGAACTATTCCACATATTGAAGTTCTTATGCTCACGTCAGGTAAAGCGCATTCATTTTCTCGCTGCCTTTGACGCATATTTAATAATGTGGCACTAGTTTAAAGGACAATTAAACTGAGATTTAAATCTCATAAATCCGATAACCTCACACGAAACACGATACAAGCGATCGATTCCACAAGTGTTAAAATCAATTGGAATCGTTCCGCACTCAGCTACTGTGGAGTGAAATGTCTGAGAGAGTTTTTTTTTCTTTAGCAAATTTTCTCTTGAATACGGCTGATTTAATTTCATTCCTTTAGAATATTACCAGTTGACAAGATATAGCAGGTATACAGAGGAAAGAGTAAAATGGCTATTCAGTATATCAGCTCTGGATTTGTGCCCAATAAGGATACATTTATGTGCCCATTTCTAATATAGTGGCAGAAGAAATGAAAAAGAAGGTCACAGACCAGGGAAGGAACCCTACTAAGATCATTTTTTTAATGATATATTTTTCGATTTGCTTTAGTTACAGGCCAATACACGCCAGTGAATTGCAACATCCGAAATTGTGATTAAAAAAAAAAATATCCCACGCATTTCTTTCTTGTTGAAGGACCAGTTTGATTTCTTTGTTGAAACAGATGGCAATTTCTATCGTTGGCCCGTGTCTTACTCAAACTGTCCCGGTCTCTGAAAAAGGAAACAAAAGAACAAGGATTAGGGCGTTACTCCAGTGGAATTAGGTGCATTTGTCTTGCCATTCTGTGGTTGAAGCATGGTTTGCCACGGACACTACTGTCTGTACACTTCGGATAGAAAGCTCGCTCCTATGACAAAGAGCAACACGACTCATGAGGACTGATTCGATCAGTTTCTTACTGAATTTCCCGACGACATTTTAGTCAGAGCGGCGTAGAAAAAGGACAAACGGAACACTGTTCATATCTTTGTCTTTTTTTTTTTTTGGAAGACTCGGAGACTTCTTTGCAAACAAAAAATCAATTAAGTCCTTTGGTATCGATAAAGTGCGTGTTTGAACATGGCCAGCTTTACTTAGATATGAATATGCGTGGGTCCTAAGTGTGAGTTAATCTCCATTAGTCGGTGAGTTTGTTTGATTCAATCTTTCTATCATGCCGGCTTTGTGTTTCTTTTTTTTCTTTTCTTTTCTTGAGTAGTCGTAAGGAGTATCAAGTTCGAGTAATGCAATTCCCATTTTTTTCCAATTTTTTTTTCTTCTAGTGAGAAATTCAAATGATTCGTAAAATTCGTTCTAATTCATAGAAGTTCAAAACTGGAAATGACCCCAAATGGCTCGATGTTTTTGCACGAGATTCTCTTCAAAAGATGAAGAGGAATTAGTTCAAAGAAGACATCACAACATCGATTGATGGGTTTTTTTTTTTTTTCGATAATATTTAAATGCCCAGTGTTTAGTTTTTAGTTTTCTATTCGGTTAACTGGTGAGAGCAAGTGTAGTTGGTGAGAATCGACAGCAAAGTACGTCGATGATTCTCCAAACTGCGAAATGAAGTACTTGAAAGAAATTTAGATGATCCGACGAAAGGTGACAAAGTGGTCCAATCTCACAGCTGAATGGGCTTTTTTATGATTATTATCCACGGACGAAAACATAACCGACCCGTGCGCGTGCATGATTTAAACAAACTTTCGATGAAGAGAAACAACCGATCGGTTAAAAAAAAAAATTGTAATTCATTTTTTTTTCTTCATCCTGAAATAAACTGTGGGGGCATGAATCAGCTGAAAGTTCGATTTATTCTCGCAATCCATCGGATTTCGCGCAAGCCGCAAGTCAATAAAGCTGTCGGCTCGTAGGACACATCCACCATCTGGTCATTAAGTGTATCTATACAAATTGATCATTTAAAAGGAGCAGCTGAATCGTATTAATACCACAGCCGATATTTATTTAGTAATTCTAATGAGGAAAATTAACAAAAGCTGTTTAAGAGGTTGCGTCAGTCTCTGAAATGCGTAGGCCGAAAGGATCTCCAAAACAGTGAAATTATTTTTAGGACGTTATTCTCCATTTATTGTGAATTTAGAGGTACTAGAGTCTTTTTGCTTTTATTATACGTCAACCATTACAGCTAACACTTATCAGACAAAACTGAACTCAACTAAATTACAGACACGATATATGACAATTTCAACGGAAGACTCAGAAGGAAACCGATGTCGTGACTTGACCTTAAGCCTTGGTTAAAAAAAAAAAGTAAAAATAAAAATGAAATAATTAGATAGACCTTTGACAGAAAGCCGAGTAGTATGCTTTCTGATTTATGATGTAAGAAACTGATGAGGTAATGAAATATTTGAGTCTTAGCAAAACGTCTGGGCTGACGGCGAATGGCGGAAAAAGCTCTCAGTCAAATTTGGATTAGGCTACCTCTACATAGCGTAATTTAATTTCGAGGAAAAGTAGTTGACAGTTCATATAAATACTTCCGCTTGATTTGTCAAACGGTTCGAAAGCCACAACAAAATATCTGTGTCTGCAGTTACTTTACGTAAACTTCTTGTTTAACTCCCTGTATTACTGAACACGAAAATCAACTAAACTCGTTGTTTTGAACCGTCCTGAATATAAACAAGAAAAGATATTCAGTACCGGACCGCACGTTAATTATAAACCATGAGCTAAAAAGTCATATCCAAGTCAAATGCACGTTCCACTCGATTGATACAGAATTTGTTCCAAATTAGTGACTTCTTTCGCTATTTAGTGTACGGAAGGAAACTCTTTCTTTTCTGTCAAGATGACTGACATCCGACCAATAATTTAATGTTTAGATTTGAGTGACGGGTACACCAGTTGTTAAGTAGCGCTGAAGCCTGAGAGCTTTCTCAAGCATTTGTTACCAAAATATCACTGAGTCTTTTTTTTCCCTATCGTGTTGTAATGCACGTAAAGAACTGAAAGGAGGATAATCCAGTATGTTTTACCGAAAGAGCCAGACTGGATTCGAATTAAAGTGGTCGTAACAATGAAAGCTTTGACGGGTAGAAGAAGTCAAACGAAAAGCAGAGAGCCGAAAGCTGAA